GTTGCCAGTGCTTCTGTGGATGGGACAGTTAGGTATGTTCCCCTAACTTACATGCATCCTCGTATAAATGTTGCTGAAAAAAATGACTAAATTGTTTGAAGTACCTTATCTAAAGTGATAAAGTAAAGCTGAAAACAGGTTTGAAGTACCTTATCAGAGATTTGATTAGGATTTTATTTGATTTAATATTGTAATTATGCACTTAAAATTTTTGATTTGATTTAATTTTGTAATTATGCACTTACCGAATTGTATACACTTAATATTTCCTACATTCTTCATGTTATTGTTTTCCATCACGTCATATGGCAGTAAATGCTTGAATAGTTTATGAGAGATATTTTATCAAATGGGACAGAGGGAGAAGGATGATTCCATTTGGTAGGTAAGATAAACGTTACAGCACTAATAGCCTGTTTGGCCAAGCTTCTAAAGTTATCTTATTTTGAAAAGTGTTTTTTTCTAAAAGTGCATTTCAGAAAAGTAGTAGATTGTGTTTGGCTAATCAATTTGAAAGCACTTTTGAGCAGCAATTAGCGTTTGACCAAGCTTTTAGAAACTGCTTCTAAGTGTATTTTTCCCAAAAGCGCTTTTCAAAAAAGTACTTTTGGGAAGAAGTTACCTTTTTCTGCTTCTACTCAATAACACTCTTTTTCTTCCTAGAAGCTTAGCCAAACACCTCAACTTAAAAAAAAAATGCTTTTGGCCTTGGAGAAACTTGGCCAAACATGCTATATATGGAGTAGGAGGATTGTAAATTTACTCATGTACTTTTCCAAATTTTTTTGGGCCAACAATTATGGAGGTTTGCACATGAAGACCAAAATAACAACAACAACAACAACATACCGGTGAAATCCCACAAGCGGGGTCCGGGAGAGTAGTGTGTACGCAAACTTTACTCCTGCCTTTGTGAAGGTAGAGAGTCTGTTTTCGATAGACTATCGGCTCAATAAAAGCATGAAACCAAGTCATGTGAATAAAGATGTTCTGGAAAAATATGGGGGTAGCCGATACAAGTGATTCTCTGAGGGGATTACCAACTCGTATGAAACTAGTGTGTGGAAGGGAATTGTGAGAAAGCACGGGAGAAAAATATATTATTGATATTCTCTTAAGTGTTTTTCAATAGCCTTATTTATAACTATACACAATACATATGGTGCCCCTATTCCATGTGAGACTAGGCTTATTTAAATAACTATCTAATACTCCCCCTCAAGCCGGTGCACACAAATTATATGTACCGAGCTTGTTACATATATAACTAATACGAGGACTAGTGAGAGACTTGGTAAAAATATCTGCAAGTTGATCATTTGACTTCACAAACTTTGTAGCAATATCTCTTGAGAGTGTCTTTTCTCTGACGAAGTGACAGTCAATATAATGTGTTTAGTTCTTTCATGGAACACCGGATTTGATGCAATATGAAGGGCAACTTAATTATCACACACAAGTTCCATCTTAGTGATCTCACCAAATTTCAACTCCTTGAGCAAATGTTTGATCCAAACTAGCTCACATGTTGCCACAACCATTGCTCGATATTCTGCTTCTATACTAAACCGAGCAACCACATTCTGTTTCTTGCTCTTCCAAGACCAAATTACCTCCTATTAAAACACAATATTCAGACGTAGAAAGTCCATCAGAAGGTGATCTTGCCCAGTCAGCATCTGAGTACCCAACAATTTGCTCATGGCCTCGATCTTCAAACAATAATTCTTTGCCCGGAGCTGATTTTATTTATCGAAGAATGCGTCAACTGCATCCCATTGACTATCACAGGGAGAATCCATAAACTAACTCACCACACTGTGGTGGTATTGGTTTATGCACAACACCGGTTACGGGTAACAAATGGTGTTGATGCAAGCAACCACTGGAAAAGTTGCACGGCAACTGTTTCTTCCCGGAATCGTTGGTAGATTGCACAACGACTATTTTCTCACTACAGCTCTAGTACCATGTTAGAAAGCACGGAAGAAAAATATATTATTGATATTCTATTAAGTGTTTTACAATAGTCCTATTTATAATTATACACAATACACATTCTACTCCTATTCCATGCGAGACTAGGGTTATTTACATAACTATCTAACAGGAACTGTGAAAGATAAGGAAAAGCTTTTTTAATTCATTAGTTTTGCCAGTGGTAATAGTTGGCATGTTTTATTTTGGTTGGATGTTTGGTATAGTGGTACAACTCCTAAAAACATGAATTTATCACTCCATTTCTATAACTGTATAAAGATGGATAACGAGGCTATGATGGCCAAGATTTCAAGGAAGGAGATTGTATCCTGTGACTTCTCTTTCAGGAGACCTGTTCAAAGACCCACAATAGATAGATTTAGAATGGGATTAGTTAAACCATTTCTTACAGAACGTCTATTGATGTAAACAGTTTGTGGAGGTCGAGAGAATGCTAGAAGGAGAAGCTTCACAACAATTTTCAGTTAAATCATATTATAATTGTTTGTGTAGCACAAGAGACGCGAGTGCAATAGGATAGCACTAACGTTTCTTACATGTTTTACGGCTGGGATGCCATACTGATGGCAGATTATCTGAAGGAATGAAAATGCATAGTAAATTGGTGTTGGTGTAAGAAGCATATGGGAGGTGAATCATCTTTTACTAAATTGCACTTTCTGACAGTTTTGAGCTCTAGTTTTCTCCATGTCTAATTGATAGAGAGCTGCCTAGAACGGCGGCAGAGGTTATGGAGCTGGGGGATGAAAAAGCTGGAGACCAGAAAAAAGAACTATGCAAGGATACTTCTCATTGTATTTTTTGGGTAATTTAGAGAGAAAATAATAGAATTTTCAAGGGTGTAGAAAACTCTTTCTGGAGATTTAAGAGCTCCCTTTTGTTTCATTTATTCTTTATTCTGAGATCAATCTTTGCTCATTTATTCTTTGGTGTAAAAGGATTTAATATATATATATATATAGTTGGACTTTGTGGGGTTTGATGTATATCCGCACTCTGTAGAGTGACATCATCTTGGTGTATTATCGATGAAACTTTTTGACTTGCCCAAAAATATCTGAATCCGATACTTGTATTGATGTTAATGTATTCTTATGAAGGATATGGACATATGACTCATCAGCACCAGCATCAAGAAATGCAACAATCTATTGTGGGGCAGAGATCATGTCACTTGAGTGGGAGTGCAAATCTGACCGTTTGGTATAGATACTGCCAATATTATATACATACATTATGTTTCCATGATTCTTGTTTCTTTTTCATGGAATTTAGTATAGTTGCTAGTTTCAATACTGGATTGAACTCTAATGCTTCTGGAACTAATGTTCATCTTGAAAAAGCTTCTCATAGGCACAGCCGATGGAGGAATCAAAGTATGGAATGTTGATGCTAAGCGTGTTGTCTGCGATCTTAGCTGCACTGAAGCATTCCCGAGGTTCCTCACACACATTGATTTACTCTCTTCTTTGGGGAAAAAAATGAAATACTTGGACACTATTTTACTTGTTCTTTTTCTCATTCCTATTTCATGTTTCCTGGAAGTAGTGTGCTGGACTTAAAATGCAGCCCTGTGGAGCCAATTTTTGTGTCTGCTGCAGCATCGAGAGGGTAACTTCTGCTTCTACCTGTTCTTCTACCTTCTCGATGTACTTNCGTTTCGAGGGTAAAGGGTTTGGGTTGGTCCGAGTGGAAACGGGTCGGGTTCTGTTCGTGGGTATGGGAAATGTGATCTTGGCCGTTGATCAATCTGAGATCAACGGCCCAGATCAACCTGTATCAATACGACGTCGTTTGGACTCTCTGGGCATCAGCTGGACTGGGGCCGGGCAAGCCTGGTTCTGGGCTATTTGTTTGGGCCAATAAATTGGCCCAATCCGGAATAATTGCTGATCTTTTTTTCTTCTTTTTTTTTTTTTTAATTTTAAAAACAAAAACTAAGCAAAAAATCAAATTAAAAATTAAATACACACTCAATACAATTATTTGCACGCACACTAAGATATTTCAAAACAGGTAAAATCAAAACAAATCAAAATCACGGACGAAGATGCCTATTTATGATTTTCTATTTAACGACCGGATTACGGTTCGAATTATGCATGACACACACATTTTTTGTATTTTGTTTTAATAAAGTAAAAATGGGCAAAATTGTAAATAACCAACAAAGTGCCATGTAAAATCCAAAATTTGTACAACAGGGCCAATTATTATTATTTTTTATTTCTTTTGGAGCGATTGTCGTGCGAAACAAAAATCACGTGCTCACAGTTGCTAGTTTCAATACTGGATTGAACTCTAATGCTTCTGGAACTAATGTTCATCTTGAAAAAGCTTCTCATAGGCACATCCGATGGAGGAATCAAAGTATGGAATGTCGATGCTAAGCGTGTTGTCTGTGATCTTAGCTGCACTGAAGCATTCCCGAGGTTCCTCACACATTGGTTTACTCTCTTATTTGGGGAAAAAAAATGAAATACTTGGACACTATTTTACTTGTTCTTTTTCTCATTCCTATTTCATGTTTCCTGGAAGTAGTGTGTTGGACTTAAAATGCAGCCCTGTGGAGCCAATTTTTGTGTCTGCTGCAGCATCGAGAGGGTAACTTCTGCTTCTACCTGTTCTTCTACCTTCTCGATGTACTTTTTTGATCTAAAGTTCTCTATCTATTACCTTGATGTCCTGTTACTTAAAAGTTATAGCTTAAGAATGTTATTACTTTGATGTCTTGTTATGTAAAGGTTATAGATTAAGAATGTTTTTCTTATAATTTCTCTGCGTTAAGCTATTGTAGATATATACTTGTCTAGTACAACAACAATAACAACAACAACAGTATAATCCCACATGTGAGGTCTGTGGAGAGTAGTGTGTACGCAGACCTTACCCCTACTTGGAGAGGTAGAGAGGTTGTTTCCGATATATCCTCGGCTCAAGAATAGGTGGCAAGGAAGAAAATGGAAGAAGTAGATAAAAGAGGGGGAAGAAAGAAAGAGGGAGACAAAAGACAATAAGGAAAAAAAGGAAGAAAAAGTAGCATCAAATAGTAACAATCAGGGAGCAATAATTTCCAATAAAAGGGGAGAAAATGTAGCATCAAATAGTAACAATCAAGGAGCAATAATTTCCAATAAAAGGGGAGAAAAAGTAGCATCAAATAGTAACAGTTAGAGAGCAACAATTTCCAGTAGCAGTTTTCAAACAAACAACAATGGACGTGGTAGCTAAGTACCAGATACACTAACAATCTAAAAGAAAGCATCTCTCAACCAACAACAAGGGTACTACTAGTACTACTGGTAAACGTAGGAGGAAGTCACAACTACCTGTCAACCCACCACCTTAATTCTCGATCTCCATGCCTTCGTATCGCTAGTCATGTCCTCGGTTAGGTGAAGCACCGGCATGTCCTGCCTAATCACCTTTTCTCAATATTTCTTTGGCCTACTCCCGCCTTGAGGACCTCTCACACCTCCTGATCAGGGCATCTATGTCTCTCCTTCTCACATGCCCAAACCATCGCAGCCTCGATTCCCGCAACTTGTCTTCCACGGATGCCACTCCCACCTTGTCCCTAATAACTTCATTCCTAATCTTGTCTTTCCTAGTATGTCCACACATTCATCTCAACATCCTCATTTCAGCTACACTCATCTTCTAGACATGTGACTTCTTGACGGGCCAACACACAACCCCATACAACATAGCCGGTCTAACCACCACCCTGTAGAACTTGCCCTAAAGTCTAGTGAAGGGCAAGTGAAAATACTTGTTAGTTTACAGATATGTATAGTATGGTGTAGTGTTGTCCCACATTGGAAGAGGAGTAATGTCTCCTTGTAGTGTATAACTATAAATAGGGACCTCTTGTATTGTATTTATCATCCAATATCAATAACATATTCTCTCCTGTGCCTTCTCACATGGTATCAGAGCATTAGTGAGAAAAGATCGCTGTGCGTCATTCCAGCGTTAACCAGGAGGCTTGTCTAAGTGAAAGTCACTTTCTGTCGGTGTTGTGCTAAAACCAACACCACCACGAGGTAGATCACCCTCCGTCGACCAACCACTGAAATTTTATCCGGCAGAAAAGCCGCTACGCTCCTCCACGCGCCGGCAACAACTACTTTTCCGGCGAGGGATCCGGCCACTTTCCGGCCATATTTTCGCGAAACTTCTTTAGGATAGTGTGCTCTCCTCAAAATTCCGAGCCTACCCATCTAATTCAAAATAAATTCCGGCCACTTTTATATTTTTTCGGCGTGAACAGTAACCTTTCTGGCCATTTTTTGAAAATATTTCTTCAGGACAACTTGCTCGCAAAGGAATTCCGAGTCTATCCATCTTGGTTACGAAAGATTCCGACAACTTTGGAATTTTCGGGCGAGCTATAGTGTTTCCGGCACAGAACAATGTTCTGTTTTCCTGCTGTAAACAGTGTTTTTTCAAGCTATTTCTTCAGTTTTCTCACAGGAGTTACTTATTTCCACTATTTCAAGTTAACCCTACTACTACAAATTGTAGCGACATGGGAACCGATGCTTTGAATAGTCGGATGGTTTCTTTAGCAGAGTATATTGAGTTCCTTCAGTATAAAGCATGTAAACAGACATCTTCTGAGATAGCTTCTGTTGTTCAAACAGGTAATAACGTGACTTGTTTCTCCCAATCCTCATCCTCTGAGTCTTGGGTCATTGATTCAGGTGCATCAGATCATATTTCTGGTAACAAATCTCTTTTCACTACTATTTCGTATTCTCAATCTCTTCCAAAAGTCACAATGGCCAATGGGTCTCAAACCATGGCAATTACAATAGGTCAAGCAAGCCCGCTTCCTTCCTTACCTTTAGATTCCGTCCTTTATGTTTCCAATAGTCCTTTTAATCTCATAGCTGTTAGTCGCTTAGCCAAATCACTTAAATGCGTTGTTTTATTTCTTGATGACCATGTTTTTATACAGGAACGCAGTACGGGGCGGATCATTGGTATCGGGCGTGAATCAAACGGACTTTATTACCTTATCCTTGCTAAATCACACGGACTCACATCTTGTCTTCCTTATACAACTTGCCCTGTTACTGATTCACCAGATTTATTACATAAACAGTTGGGACATCCCAGTTTGTCAAAACTTCAGAAAATGGTATCTGGTTTATCTCACTTGTCAGCTCTAGAGTGTGAGTCATGTCAGCT